CAGGTGAACACGCAAACACACTCAGGTGAACACGCCAACACACTCAGGCGAACGCCGCAACACACTCAGGTGAACACGCAAACACACTCAGGTGAACAAGCAAACACACTCAGGTGAACACGCAAACACACTCAGGTGAACAAGCAAACACACTCAGGTGAACACGCAAACACACTCAGGTGAACGCACCTGAATTTTTCGTATTTTTCTTGTGACTTTGGGGTCAAATATGACTTGGAAATCTTCATGTCCTATTTTAAACACCTTTCAGCTTTTTGCACTGTAATGCTCCTCTTGTGTGACAAATTAGTTTTTAAAGCCACAAAATCCCATGTGCACTCATTTAATTCCATGTCTCTCAGTTATAAGAGTAATTTCCCTGAAGTGAATACATGCTGCTGGAATCAGATGTGTGATTTTTGTCTCTTTCATCAAGAATCCTGGCTGTACACTCATCGAGTGCAGAAGAGAAACAGCGCCACCTTCTGGACGCGTTCAGCCTGATGAAGAGCGCTGTCTCTCTTCAGGAGCAAGTTCTCACTGATGTCCTCAATGTTCTTCCACCTCATGAGGTACGAGATGTTTTTAATGATCACTTAATGTACAGATGATTTTTTTTAGATTGTCTGTGCTAATTTTGGACAAAAATCTGCAGAATTTACACCAGCGGGAAATAAATGACACACTTCACCTTGACCGTAGCTCAACAGTGTTTAGTTTACACTAGTAATAAATAACTACACGCACACACAGTAAAACAATATTATTGTGAAATATTATTCACATTGAAATCTATACATCTATGCACACACACATTTATACACACAGTAAAACAGTAAATATTGTGAAGTATTATTAAAGTATAAAATGATAAAACAATTTAAAATAATTATGTAATAATAAATCATTTCTATTCTGTTTTCCATTTTAACATTTTAGAGACACTAATTTTATATTAAAGTAGATTTAAAGTAAAACAGTAATACTGTGTAATATTATTATAATTTAAAACAAATCTAAAATAATTGTCTAAATACAAATTGTTCTAAAAATTGGCATAATTGTGTCATATAAAATATCTCTGTTCTATTATATATTTATTTTATTTTAAAAATATTAATATTTGAAATAATATTAAAACAATTTAAAATAATTGTCTAAATACAAAAAATACTATACTATACATTTTAAAAATATTTTTAATTCAGTTTTTTTTCATTCTGTTTCTATGTTGTTTTCTATTTTAATATATTTTGGAGACTTTGCGTATTCATTTGATTGTCTCAATTATCTCTCAGAAGCGTGTGACATGAATCTCCTCCACACCTTCGATAATCTCATTTGTTTGTCTTTTGCCATTCTTTCGCATGCGCTACTGTGAACTCTAAAGGGCAAAACACACACGGTTTGTTTCCAAACGCGATTAGCAGACGGGAAATGTGATTTGGTGTGGCGTTCGTTAAGCTCGCTGTGACGCGACCCGGTGGTTTTCTGGGCCCCTGTCGGGTTCAGCGTGCCAAACAGCACACGGCTCCTCTAAACGACACGCTAGTTAATTTTGCCTCATGCTGCATTATGGATTTTCATTTTCCCAAACGGATTATCTTATTACAAAGCTCTCTGGGTGCTCATATTTATGAAAAGAGGGCAATGAACACGTTGACCAAATGTGGAAATCTGAATTGCTAAAGTAATTAGACTCTTGTGCTGTTTGCACTCTTTCCATTTGAAGGATTAGTTCATGCTAAAATAGTCTTTCGTCATTTATTCACCTTCCAAACCTGTCAAACAGAAGCTATTTTGAAGAATCTCCAAGCTGCTCTTTTTCCATACAGTGAAAGCAAACCGTGATCAGAGATGTTCAAGCTCCAAAAACAACAACGAAAAAAGTAATGAATAATGAGCTCTGGTGTTGCCATGGTGACAGAAATCAGAAGATGTTACTGTAGTTCCCTTTCAGTCGGTTACTCTCGACGTCACGTCGGATGACCGACGAATTGGGATCTCGCTTAGAGAGACCAATCTACTTCGAGTGTAAACTAAATGAGCCAATGTACATTTGTATGCGATTATTGCATCCAGCTGCTGCTGATCACAGCGTGAGTATAAGTAGGCAGCAGATGCAGCGCATATTCAGCTTTTCACTTCGGAGCCGAGCGGTTCTATCGTTCTGCTCCTGACCTTCTGCTAAGAGTAAAGCTACAGTCAAGCACGCTCTTCGTGGGCTCTCGTGCTGGTGGACGGCACTTCAGCGGCGGTGGTTTTCCCGTGTCGAGTGGTTTGCACACAACAGGCTGCACTACCCCTGTGTGTGTTGCAGACGGCCATCTCCCCTGTGCGCTTCAGCACACTAAAAGAGCAAATTCCATCTAAAAGAGCTTCACGGGTGGAACGTCTTTTTAAAGACGCGTCTTTTTAAAGATGTCGTACCATCCGTGTGTTTCTGGGTGCGGTCGTTACCTGGCGCCGGGTGATGGTCACGATCGCTGCCTCTCGTGTCTGGGCATGAAGCATGCTGAGGTGGCTTTCGTGGATGACTCATGCTCCCATTGCGGGGGTATGACCATCTCGGAGTTGCGGACCAGACTCCGTTACCTGCAAGGGGGCGGAGTGCCCATGCCACTTCCTAGATCTGGGGTTCCCTCTAGCGGCAACCGGGGGCGCCCATCTTCTGGCAGTAGGCGGACTGGTCTTACGGTCACGGTGAGGAATTCCCCTCCGGGGATGCCCCAGCCAGCTGGCACTCCGAAACCACTCTGGGCGGTCAGCGGTGCCGGATACGGACCCAGAAATTATGGCTATGCTTTCCCGGGCCGCCGAGAGTGTCGGGCTCAAGTGGAATCTTCCACTGCGTCCCGAACCCTCAAGGTTGGACGATTGGTTTCTCGGGGTGGCGCGTGCTGGTTCTCAGGGCCCCAACCCAGTGCCTTTCTTCCCGGAGGTGCATGATGAGATCGCTGGGTCGTGGACGGCACCTTTCACTGCCATAAACCGACCCGGTGGCTCATCCTCCCACACCACCCTTGATGGGGGTCCAGCGCGGGGGTACGCGGAAGTTCCCCAGGTGGAGCGATCGGTTGCGATGCAATTGTGTCCAAATGCCGCTACCACTTGGCGGGGCAAACCGTTGCTCCCCTCCCGGGCCTGTAGGCACTCGTTGGCCTTGATCGGCAGTGCTTATACGGCCTGTGGAGAAGCTGCGTCCACCTTACACACTTCGGCGTTACTGCAAGTGCACCAGGCCAAGGCACTGAGGGACTTGCACGAGGGTGGTCACGACCCGGAAGTTCTCAAAGAACTCTGCACCGCGACGGACCTCGCGCTACGAGCGACGAAGGTTACGGCGCGGTCTCTGGGTCATGCGAAGTCCACTATGGGGGTCCAGGAGTGCCATCTCTGGCTGTGTCTGGCCGACATGCGCGAGACGGACAAGACAAGGTTCTTGAACGCCCCCGTGTCCCAGACCGGCCTGTTCGGCGACACGGTGGAGAACTTCGCCCAGCAGTTCTCCGCTGCCCAAAAGCAGACTGAGGCCATCAGGTACAGCTGCTGCCTCCACCCGGCCGAGGGCGGCAGCGCCCCTGCGCAGCAGCCTCCAGCAAAACTGCGCCGAGGAGCCGGCCGCAGGGCAGCTGCCCCGCCCGTCCAGGCCCCCACCAGACCTGGTGGTAAGCGAAAGAGCAAGAGTCCCTGAAACGGGCGACCCAGAGATGGAGGGAGTTGCTCTTCGGGAGATGGTGAACGCACCACTCCTTCCCCCGGAGGAGGGCCGGGCGGAGAATCTTTTGTTTCGTTTTTTGACCTCGCGGTCAGTGGTACCCAAATACTCGACAAAAGAGCAATTTCTTCTACCTCTGGGTCCCCTGAGGGGATGGGGGGTTGTGAACGTTCCAGAGCCGTATCACACTCACCCTCCTCTCTCGCCAGTGAGCAGCAGTGGACGGATCGGGAGGACGAACCAACGGACTACCCACGCACCCTCTGCTCAAACGCAGGTCAGTGTTACACACACCCAGACCCCGCCTCGGACCGGCACTGAGACGCCGGGCCGGGTCCCTGTGTTCTTCCGCGCTGCCCCACTGAGGGTACGCCTGTAGTTCCGTTGATGCCACTTACGCGGTGTCTGGGAGCCTGGCTAGAGCTACCCAGCCCATCTCAATGGCTCCTTTGAACCGTCAGGCTCGGCTATGTGATTCAGTTCGCCCGGTGCCCTCCCAAGTTCAGGGGCGTCCACTTTTTACGTTAGTGAAAGCAGCAGATGCCCCTGTCTTGCGTGCAGAGATCGCAGTCCTACTGGCGAAGGACGCGATAGAGCCGGTTCCTCCAGCCAATATGAGGTCGGGGTTTTACAGCCCTTACTTCATTGTACCCAAGAAAGGCGGTGGGTTGAGACCGATCTTGGATCTGCGCATCTTGAACCGGGCCCTTCACAGGCTCCCGTTCAAGATGCTTATGCAGAAATGCATCTTCAGGTGTATCCGTCCCCAAGATTGGTTCGCAGCGATCGACCTGAGGGACGCGTACTTCCATGTTTCGATCCTTTCACGCCACAGGCCATTTCTGCGTTTTTTTGTGTTCGAGGGGCGGGCATACCAGTACAAGGTCCTGCCCTTCGGGCTGTCCCTGTCAGGGCATTCGCATTCTCAACTACCTTGACGATTGGCTCATACTCGCTCAGTCTCAGGATCAGTTGTGCGAACACAGGGATTTGGTACTTTCACACCTCAGCCTGTTGGGCCTTCGGGTCAACT